AGAGTAAAAGTGACCCCCAGCCCCGAGGGGAGCCCTGAGATGCTGGCTGCCACCATCACCCCAGATTCCCGTACCCCTTGTGCGGCTGCACCGCATCCAGCAAGGGGTGCTTCAATCTGACCACTCCCTCTTGGGTGTCCTTTTGGGGTAACGGGCATTGCAGTGTCGTTTGTAACTCCCCGAAACCCGAGGAGGAAGGCTGCTTGGACTGACTCTGGGAGGTGGCGTCCAAGGCTCTGGTCACTCAGGGAGCCTCCTCCGCCCCGCTGGCCGTGTCCCTGGCGTGCGCCTGGCTCCCACGGGCGACGAGGGTGGGGGACCATGCCCCTTGCCGATGCAGCTGTGCTTCGTGGATGCGGCTCAAGCGGCCTCGCGAGGGCGGCAGGGGGCATCACGCAGCCACCAGCCTGGAGCCCAGGGTCTGCCAGCCCCCTCTTCCTGGTGGCCTGTCTTCCTGTTTTTGCTTTTGCAGGCAGGTTGGTGATGGCTGAGTGGGTGGGGCCCTGGGTCCTCAGGACTCTGACAGGGTCTCCCAGGGGGCTAAGCCACTAAGGGGCCTCACAGACGCTTGAGTCCAGACAGCACGCGGTCCCCCAGGGCTCTGGGTGAGCTGGGGGGGCGGGGGTGCAGGCTCCATGTCCAGGCTGCCCTTCCCTGAGGGTGGTGGGGGAGGAGCTCCTGGGTGGGTGCCTCCCACTGCCAGCCCTCCGGCTGTCTCCCCAGTGCCCCACCAAGGCCCCGACCTGTGGACCCAGAGGGCAGCCTGGAAAGCCTCCCCCAAGACGTGAGGGGTGCAACGAGACAGAGGCTCCTCATGAGCTGGGCTCCCTGCTCACAAGTGACTTTTCAAAGCTCCCACCCCCGAGACATTCCTGCCTTTCAGCCCGTGCTCCAGGGAGCAGAGGCCCATCCGGAGACCCATCCGGAGACCGGCTCAGCTGCCTCCAGCTCTGAAGCCCTCATTGTGCCTCTGTGGGCTCCCGCCAGCCCTGCGCTTCCCCTGTGCCCCCGACTTCAGAGGGGCAGCCGGAAGAAGCCTGTCTCTCCCCGTTTTCCAAAAATAGCACCCCCACCAACGAGCTCCCGGAAGCGTCCCCTGGAGGTCAGGCTGTGCCTGGGGCCCCAGGCCTCCACTGCCCCTTCCTCCTCCTAGGACGGCCAGGGCACCCCGCCCAGTGCA